GTTAAGAAATGAAACGTGAAAGTAATTTACATACTGTTAAGACAATACGCCCAATATGAGTATATAATGAACAGGATTGAAAGGACATAATATGGAGTCAATATGCCCAATGAATAGCCATTTTAACATTGCTTATCTTTGTCATGTTTCTCTAGCAGTTCACTTTAATTTACCCTCTAATCACTAGCCAAGGACAAAACCAGTTTCTCAGAGGTAGTTAATGATTATTGTTTGACAATCCCTTCCCCAGATTGTTTTGTGCTAATTAGCTTTTCTATTTCAAGTATTTGTGTCCACGCATAAGATCCAAGTTAACTTAATCAGCCCTTCATGACACAGATGGACCCCATCATCATGGGAGCCATCATGTAACTGGTCACCCATCTGCCCGCTGTCCAACACCTGATGCCAGTACCTTTGTGTACTTGCCCTCCGTGATGAAGTGGAGCAGACCACCACCCAATCACCTTGATGCACTTCCCCCATCAAGGGGAAAATATAAAAGAATTCAATTCCAAGCGGCTAGTCGCCATTGCTTTGTTAAACTCTGGTGTGTCCACGTGGCCCTTTGAGCTATGGTCACCTGTTTCTTAGCTCTGGCCCCTTCCTCTACCTTGGGGAAGTGAATCTCCTCTCTCTAATTTACTTTCTAAATAGACTATATTTTCCAATCTCACTTCGATGTGATTCTTTGCATCTTTCACAAGGCACTGGATTGTACACACCCATCGGGCCTGACCTAACATTTGTGGAGGCCTTCCTGGGATTTTTAACCTAACAAGGATATAAAACTCATATGAAGTTTAAAGGTAAGTGAAAGGCTTCAGCAAAATCTTGTCCTTGGGTTTGATTGCTTCAGGACATGCTCCCAGAGTCTCAGGGTGCAGATTCTGACTCTGTACCTCTCCTGAACTGTATCAGTGAAAAAGTTTGAGAAATATTACCTAGATCTAGAGTCAGTAAACTTTGCATCCTCTAAGGGAAGAAGTAATACCCTGCAACACATCTTTGTTAGCATGTTCAGACTCTTGAACGGAGACTGAAAAGTGACAGCACATAGAACAGGCTTAGCTTGACAAGCATATGTGACTTTTATAGTTTACTCATGCTTTAAAAACAGTGAAACTCCAAAGGAAATGAAATCAGGATGCCAAAGAGAGATCTGCACTCCCATGCTCATTACAGCACTATTCACAACAGCTTAGATAAGGAATCAACTTAAGTGTCTATCGGCAGATGAATAGATGAAGAAAATGTGGTATTTATGTACAATGGAATAGTATCCAGCCATAAAGAATAACATCCTGTCATTTGCAACAACATAGATGAACTGAGAAGACATCATGCTAAGTGACATAGGCCAGACACAGAAAGACAAACATTGCATGATACTTACATGTGGAATAAAAAAAAAGTTAAGCTCATAGAAACAGTTGAACTCAGAGACAGAGAGTAGGATGGTTGTTACCAGGGACTGGTAATCAGGGAGGTTGGGGAAGTGTTGGTCAAAGAATACAAAACACCAGTTAACAGAAATAAGTTCAAGAGATTTACTGTTCAGCATGGTGACCATAGTTGCTAGCACTGTATTTTATTCTTGAAAATTGATGAAAGTAGATTTTAAATGTTTTCACCACAAAAAATGATAAGTATATGAGGTAATGGATAAGTTAATTAGCTTGATGTAGCCACTCTACAATTTTATTTGTCAATTAGAAAATAATGAAAAAAATTGAAAATCAAATAAGCATCTTGACATTAGGCTTTTGTTGAAACTTAAACATAGTTCTCAAATATCAGTCCTTAAGAGTAATCTGGCCAGTGCAGCAAATGTACACTATAACAAATGGTTCTTAAATTTAATTTTTTGGGGGGGGGGATTGTCTAGCTTTATTGCCTAGGCTGGAGTGTGGTGGTGCAATCATAGCTCACTGCAGCCTCAAAGTCCTGTGATTATTACTCTTGCCCCAGCATTCCAATAGTTGGGACTACAAGCGTATGCCACCATATGAAACTATTTTTTTCCCTCTCCTCTCCTCTCTTTATTTTTCTTCTCTTATTTTCTTTTCTGTTTTGTAGAGACAGTTCTTGCTATGTTGCTCAGGCTGGTCTTGAATTCCTGGCCTCAGGTGATCCTCCCACCTCAGCTGCTGTTACTCAGATTTGAGTAAGCTTCAGAATTACTGGAAGGCTTGCCACAGCACAAATAGCTGAGTCTCACTCTCAGTGTTTCTCAGTCAGGATGTGGGGGATGAGGGCAAGAATTTGCATTTCTAGCAAGTTTCCAGGTGATGCTGGTCTGGCTATTACACTTTGAGAGACACTGTTTTACAAGATTTGAATATGTAAGACTCTTATTTCATCATGGAAATAATCAGCAGAGCTGAATAGCAGCTTTGCATTGAGGAGTGGGCATTTCATCTCCAGTTAGCCACAGCCTTTAGCACTTCTTACTGCGTATACCAGTCCCATATACCAGTCTGCATATACCAGTCTGTAGACAATATAGTTTGTGATAGCTGCTTTAGGATGCAGACACAAAGATAAATAAACAGAACTGGCCCTTAGTTGCATACTTCTGTTGGCATGAAAATGGTGGAGAATACAAGTATAAGCAAATCTGAGCATCTTGATGGAATAAAAGTGGAGTTGGTACTGAAACAATCCAGAATCATTAGAGTTTTTCCTGGTTGAAAAAACAGTGGCCCAGTCTGCTCAGTGTGGTCAAATCAACAAAGCCACAGATAGCAGAGTGATGCAGCTTCTGTGGACTATGGTCAAATGGAACATTGTTCATGGAGGATAAAGAATGTTTCTTTCAGTTATTTGTTAATAATTTGGTATTTTAAGAAATCAAAAGTATCATCGTATTTTATAAAGAGTTTAAATACACAAAGTTCATTTAAAAAGTATTAATCTCATAAGGCATGGGTACACTTTGACAGTCAAGTGTAAAATACTTCAAATAATGTGGACATTGCCTAACAGTTAGAGAGAGACCTATCAAAACTTAATGTCCAGTGCCAGAAAGAATACTACTTTTTCTCAGGCGGTAGGAGAATAGAAGAAAATCAGATGATAAAACTCTTCCAGCTCAACACCCTTTATATAATCCCTCTGCCAGATCACTGACTTTCTCAGGAAGGAGTGAGGTTCTCGTTGCTGGGGAAAGGGTATTTGCAGTTAGCACCTAAGTCTTTTGGAATTGAATTCCCTGAGGTTTTTGTCTCATTATTACCAATTATTGGCTTAGGAACATCCTACTATTTTGTTAGTGTCATGCTCAGTGCCACTGCAGGCCAACCCACACACCACTGCTAGATTAATCTTAGTAAAGGGCAGCTTTGAGTCACGTTCTTTCTTTCTACACAAATCCTCCATGAGCCCCACTGCCTCCTGGATTAAGCAAAATGTATCAAGCTCATATTCAAATTATTCTATAACAGGACAACAAGTTACCTAGTTTTAACATTCTACTCTCTGTTCTATGTAAATTTATACTCTGAGGGAGTGTTCATCAAGATAGGTGCTCCAAAACTTTAGGAGGGGGAGAAGTAGGGGTATCTTTGACTAATGGGATCAGACAATACATAGTACTGGGGGTCCCTTCTAGATGCAAGGATAAGGCACAGTGGGAGGGCTCTGCCCATCCATGTAGGCTTTAGGCAGAGAGCTCTTCTAAATATCAGAAGTATCCTGGAGCAACAGTATCATTACTGAACTCCAGGACAAGAGAGTTAGTGAGAAAATAGTCACCTGAAAATAAGGGTATGATATTTTCATGGGACCATGGATGGTGAATCAAATGCATTGAAGTCAGAAGAGGGTTAACAAATCTGAATTATCAAAATCCATATGTTTTAAATCAGAATGCTTAAGCCCTTTTTCTTAAAAATCCTTATCTTTCCATTTTTCCTGACTCTGATGCTTTTCTGCCGAGTTTACTAAGTGGCAGAAAGAAAAGATGACTGATTACCCAAAAGTGAGAAGAGTTCTATGAAAGCAGAGAGGAAAGAACGCAGGGGTGAAGTTAGTCCATTAAACATGACTTAGGCTAAACAGCGTATATTGATGAATTACTTGAGTTACCAGATGACATCAGTGTGACCTGGTCAGATGGCAGTACTCAAATGTGGCAGTAACCCTTGGACTCAGTAAGGTATCTTCATGCACAAAGAAAGTTAAACTGGACCCAGTGAGCCAAATGTTTCGATATACCTTAAGTAAGTTCCCATTTTATACATCAGCAAAACCACAACTCATATAATTTTTTATATTTTCAACACACTCTGATATCCATTACCTCATTTAATGCCTGTGACAAATTTTTTGAAACAAATAGAACACAGATTTTTTCCATTGGAGAGACAGGGAAAGTGAGACATAGGAAAGTTGCATGGGCTATTCCAAGACCAGAAAGTAGAATTAGATTTGGGATTAGGACAGATACCTTTTGAAGCAATGGCAAAGATTTCCATTCCTATGCTAGAAACCATTGCAACTGCAACATTCAGCTTAACTTAGTAAGTGATGTGGTGGTTCAGGGGTAGTTATCATGACAGATGTGCCAGATCCATGGCAGAAGTGGTTTGTGGTAGGAATCAGAACAATCTTGTTTGCTTTTGTATGCCATAGTACTTGACCCCATAATTGCATTCAGGAGATATTCAGAAATTCAGGGAACGAGGTGATCAGTTAAATTCTGAAATATGTATGTGTCACTTGTATCATCAGCATTTAAATATATTTCCTAGGAAAAGGCTGCAAAAATCATTAAATAGAAATTTTGCTTTTTGTTGCAGCATAATCAAAACCTGCCTTATTAGTTTAAGCTAAGTAATTTCTGGAAAGAAAGAGAAAAAAAGAGAATTCAATATGGAAACTAAACTGGATTCTCAGGAATAATGAGCAAATTTGAATGGTGGAAAATGTCAATTAAACTATAATTATTTACATTTTTAAAAGGCTTCAAGCAGTAATATGACAAACTGAGCAAGCTTTCAAGTAACGTAATCAACTCCCAAACACAAGTCACCGATACACAGCCTTTTCACCAGATTATTAAACAATTCTACATCCTTTTTAATTAAAGAAGCAATCTAAATTCAGACAATTGGCATTTAAATTCTGAGCATAGATTAGTCTTTGAACAAATTTGCTTAGAAAGTATTAATTTTTTGTTATAACCCAAGATGCTTTTTCCCTCTTCTCATCCCTGCATCTTGCTAATGTTTCAGTGAAACCAGTAGCAAAAGCATTTGGCTTGGTGGTCTATGAAGAAAATGTCTGTCCTTTCCAAAATGAAGATTTTTTTTCATTTATTTGACCCATTAAAAATAAAAGAGTCATTGATTGCAATGGTCACTTTCTGCCTTGAGATGCAGTGGACAGGACCAGATGAAAAATTAATCAACCCTGAGTTTGGCTTTGTCATCTAGTTTGCCATGAAAGGTACTTTTCTTCTTCTTAGCAATGCTTCTTCAATCGGTTCTTATGGCATTCAATCATTTCTACAAGGCCAACCATAGGGATGGGGGTGAGTCATGTGATGACAGATCAGTCTTATCACCTCATCTCCCAATGCACAGTGATCGGTCCAGTAAGAATCTCAAGTTAGCCAATCAGAGATTTAAAAAATTCAAACTGAGCAAAAAGAACACTTTCTTCTGGTTTCCAGACTCAAAAATTTGGAACACAGAATGCCCCATGCCCATATCTAATGTACTATTGATAAGCTGGTCTGAGGGGATGAAGCTGAGTCAGAGCTGACAAGAAGAGGAAGCAAGTGCAGATAACAGTTGAATTCCTCAAGAAAATCTACTCAGAGGAAACATTCTTGCCCTTCATGTAATATAGTTTTTAAAATATCAATAAATTTGTTCATTAAAACAATTTTCCAGTGTATACTGAGATTTCTTGTCCCTTGCCATAAAAAGTATCTTGACCAATATAAACCCTTGTCATTTCTTTTTCCACTTAGAGGCTTATCACACCCTCCTTCCACCATTTAGTAATGGCCTCTCCCTACCATGGTTCCTATGTCTTCTCAGAATGCCCTTTGAAAAATACTTGTATACTAATTTCTCATTCACACACTACCACATAAAATTGTTCTTTCTAACAGTTGGCTCTTAGACATGGTGGATTCTTACCAATGACTCTTGTAACTCTTTTAAGGTAATAAAACAATTGACTTGCAAGAAACATTTCAGGAGAAAAATGACATCTGATGTTCATAGCTCTTTATGTAACATGTAGGAAAGACTACGTTTTTTTCTATTTTAAAATATGTATCTTTTATATCTGTTTTAGGTATTTCCTATAACTAGTCAAGCATCTACCCTAAAATTTGGAGTTAGACATCTCTGATCCTGAAACTTTGCTTCGTCTCTACTGTGTGAGCATGGCAAGTTACTTAACTAAGACTCAATTTACTCAACTGAAAAGTACAAATAATAATACTTAGCACTCCACAGGGTAGTTGAGATGATCAAGTTCAAAACTCTAAGCAAGGCACTAATTATAGTTAGTACAGTGTCCACTCATTAAATGTTAGTCAATGCTTATTATTATTATCATTATTATCAATAAGGCAAAGAAGGTGAATAGACTCATTTGATAAATTATATATTCATTTAAATGTATTCTAAAGATCCATTCTAAATCATTGACTTATATTAACAGACCAGGTCAGAATGTATAATTAATAGAGCTACACTGATATCTTATTTTAGATAGTACTTTATTTTCATTTATGTTAGTTCATTTGATTCATCTCTAGGAGGTAATATTATGTACTTTCCAGAAATTAAAATGAGGAACAGAGAGAAAAAGTGACTCATTAAAACATAACATTAAACAAAGCCAGGACAGATAATTAAATCTTCTGATCATTTATATAGAGTTTGTATGCTTATTAATGCTAACAAATTGAAATATCAAAAATCTTATGCCGGGAGCCACAATCACTAGTAAAAGTAAGGTAAAAGGGACCTGAAAACAGGAAAAACGCTGGCTTGCAGCAAGGTTCCAGTAAAATGTAGCCATGACGGAGGCAAAGCCCCATGGGCCCTGTTGATGGACCTTCCCTAACTTTGAAGGATTGCATGCATAGGCTTGAGAATATTCCCTCTTTAGTTGAGATAATAGATGCGCAAGTGGATGATGGCATTTGACAACAAAAATTATACATAGGCATAATGGAGGTGAGATTGCAGCAAAAAGGGTGCCCCTTAGAATGTGCAAGGATGTGGAATTAGCAGTAAACCCATGTATAGAAATGTAAAAAAGTCTCAACAGCAAAAATTTTCCCCCTGAAGGGACAAGGGAATGCAAATTTTGAAGCCATTAGCTAAAAAGAAAAAACAAGTACTTCCTCATATCCTTTATAAGTAACAACATTGACAGTTGTGATTGATGAGGAAGTGGGAAATTGAGACAGAGTATCTCCAAAAACAGGTGCTTTCGGGTAAAACAAGTCACAGCCTTTTGATTTAAGAAATATTATAGTTTAATTAGAAAGAGGGTTAAAATTAAAGTAAGGATTAGATAAATAGCAGTTTTAATTAAAAGATAATTGTTTATTATAGATGTAGGTATTAGTTAAATAGAAAGAATAGGAAATAATTAAGTTTTAAGGTAAACTTAAAATTATATGCACTTAATGTAGTTTTAAAATTAAATACATTTAGGATTAGAAGTAAGATTAATTTCATATATAAGTGTAGATTTAGACATAAGTTTTGTTTAGAAATATAAAATGTAAAATGGGTAGAATTAAGAAAATAGATAGAACAGCGAAGGGAAGAGATTCAGTTGGCCTAGAGGTCACAGGATGTGGCTGATAAATTGGCAGCTGGTATTTTGTTACATCACCGGTAACAGGACGGAACAAAATGAAACTTGTAAAGGTCAACTTCCCCATGAACAAAAGAAAAAACATGATGTAAACATTTGATGTGTAACATGGGATACATTTTGTGGGTAGGGGGTCAGTAAAAAACCTATATAAGCTTGTAAGAATTGAATAAAAATTGGCAGTCTTGAACTCTCCCCAGGAAGAAGGATCCTGTCGTGTTCGTCTTTTCTTTTTAGCCACTTCCCGATTCCCCCTCTCAAGTCCTGACTCTCTCCTGGAGCTGGACTCCAGTAATCTTAATTTAAAATGAATCAGCTCTCTCACTTTCTAGAAACTAAAATCTGGGAAAAACTTGGGATACAATGATGAATTGAGGTGTGGCAGATAATAAACAAATGCTATAACTGGGAAACTTAGTAGTAAATTTATACTTAGCGCTCAAGTATTAAAGTGTATAGCTGGAATGCATCCTAGGAAAAAAATCTGTCCAATTCTTCTTTGTCAGAAGCAGGGAAAGGTGCCTAGAGAAGCATTGCTTTCTTATTTGATTATGTCTTCTTTATAGTTTTAGTTAGTAAGTGAACAGGGCAGTACTAAAAACCATTACCCTAGATTTTTAACTACCGATCTTTTCTTATGTAGTGTAGTGGAAAGGGCAGTAGATGAGGCTTTATCTTCCTTCTAACTCTATAATCTTGGCCAAATCACTAAATTTCTTTAGGTCTCAATTTTCTCACATGTAAAGAAGGAATAACCACCCCTTACCTTAGAGACTCGGTGATCAAATAAGACCATATATATTAAAACACTTTATAAACAATAAAACACCAAATGAAGGTGAAAAATCATTATTGGACAGGAATTGCAGATAGATTTTGACTTGACTATGGAGCTCTGCCTAAGTGGTATTGGCTATCCAGAATGCTGTGTTGGGGTTTTGAGAATTCCTGGGACTCAGAGGAAAAAAGAAGTTTTAATTGGTCTGTGATCATTGCCATGGAAGCAGGAGAGGGTATTAGAGACACATGTGGCAAATATTTAGGGCACTCTCTCTGCATAAGGGAGTAGTGGCTATGACAGAGAGCTCTGAAGAGCCATATGATCAGAGGCACGGTGTTTCGCTGCTCTACTTCTACAAAATGTAAAAGTCCGTAAAATGAGTATCACTTTACCAAATGCAGTATGTTATCATGAAGACTAAATTAAATAGTGTGTGCAAAAGAGCTCAGGAAACTGCAAAGTAGCATCTAGTAACATTATTATGGCATAAAATATTACATTTACAATTGGTTCTTGCCCATAGAAAATATTTCCTTTATGTGGATGAAACTAAAAGTTAATTATCCCTCTGTAATAGTGACAAAACAATACAAAACTGATGTTCTTAACTGAATGCTAGCAAGAATATATTTTACCTATCCTCGGTTTCTAGGTTTTTGTCTGTCACTTTAAATTGGCTAACTGTTTGACAGATGTTCAATAATTGACACAGCTTATCTTCCTCTCTCAGGCTCCTTTCCTACTCAATTGCTAGCATTTCTAGTTGTTATAGTAACTGTAAACATTAATGATTATTCCTACATGCCAAGGGGATTGAAACACATTTTTAAGTTAAAAGTTCCCTCAGGGGAAACAGTATCCATTTCTGGTAAAATGGAAAATATTATATGATTTAAATTCCCTAGATACTGTATTTACTACTGCTAAATACACAAATCTACTTCTATAGTTTTGCATTGGCAATGATTTTTTTCTTCCATCTGACAAACAAAACGAGTTGGAGGAAATTCAGAAACTCAAGTTTTCCCCAGTGTAAGGAAGGAAGAATTCATCTAGACAAATTCTGAATAAGGAACCCAAGGGGGAGTTTTGGAAGCAATCTCTCACAGTCACACAGTACGGAACAGGCACAGAACGTTACTTCCCATGACCTGGTACAAGTTAAGGTCCCTCCAGTTAAAACCTAAGCAGTCTCAAGAGTAAAATTGGGAGGATGATATCTATACTAACCATGTGTTTCACCTTAAATGTAAAAAAATATGTAATGGGATCATTATTGTCATTTGTTAGAAAGAAAACAGTAGTCTATTCCTTGGAAGAAACTGAAAATAAGTTGAAAGGCAATAGTAGCACAAGTATTTCAAGCTCATGGCCCATGGGCCAGATCTGGAAAATAGCTGTGTTCTGTTTCCCATGCTACTGTGTAACATTTTAAAAAGTGATGGCTAACATTCAAAAACTGAAAGATTTCACATCAAAATCCACATTTATAGCTTCTCATAAGAAACCATAAGATCAGGCAGTACTGAGTCTCTTATTTCTTCAAGGAAATAATTGACCTGAAATGAGCAGTGGCTGGCTTGTATAAAGGGGGCATGTGGATCCCCACCTGACACACATTGTCTTATTCAGTTACACTCTAACCTGCCTGGCCGTAGGAGACAACAGAGTTTGTGAATTCTGGCTGAACTTCTTCTTTCTTTCCCTCCCTCCCTCCCTCCCTTCCTCCCTTCCTCCCTTCCTCCCTTCCTCCCTTCCTCCCTTCCTCCCTTCCTGTTGCTGCAAGAGCTTTATTTTCATTTGGTCTGAGGCTTGGGAGAGTGCTCCAGGGCGGTTAAAAAGCTGCCTAGTGGCTGGAGGGGGAGGCTCAGGCAGAAGAAGCCCTGATACTTGAGCCCCCCGCTCCCTGCCCCAGTCGTGCTTGAGGGTGAGCCTTTTGAAGAGGTACTCGCTCAGCCTAGCCTCCAGCCCGGCCAGCCTGTGAAGGTTGGTCAGGTGGTCACCAATCTTCTTGATGAGTTTCACTTCCTCATCTAGGAAGTGGTTCTCCAGGAAGTCACAGAGATGGGGGTCTGTACGGGCAGATCCCAGGGTATGAAAGTCCAAAAGGGCTTGGTTCAGGTTCTTCTCCAAGGTCATGGCGGCTTCCATGGCGTCCAGGGTTTTACCCCACACATCTTGAGAGGGCTTCTGGATATTCTGGAAGAGGGGGCGGTCGCCACGCTCGTTTTGCGTCTTCATGAGACGCTGGGCGCCCTTGCGCTTTATCACTGCCAGTTCGTGCAAGAAGTGGCCCACGCCTTCCAGAGCCACGTAGTTTTGCGGTACATAGAGAAGTCTAGAGAGAGGTAGGTGTAGGAGGCCGCCAGATGCAAGTTGAGCATGTGGTTGACGACTGCCTCCACCTCCGTGGAATAATTCTGGGAAACCTGGGAGCTCATGGTCGGTTGGCAAGAAGGAGCCAACCGCAAAAACGATGTTCCTTGGTCCCAGAAACAGGAAGTGACTGAGAAAGTGGTCTCGGAGGTTGCAAGTGGAGAGGAGATCGGAGGGCAGTGGGAGGCTGGAAGAGAAGGAATCACCGGGTCTGTTCTGTCCAAACACTGTTGAAGCAAGAGACAGGTCCGCAGGACTGCAAATGCGCTGCTTGAACCCCTTTCATACATGACAGGGATTCAGAAAGCAAATCATCCTGACTTCCATCAGCCCCAACTACTTGCAACCCTGGATCTTCTTCTATAAAGTAGAGGGCAGCTAATGTCTGGGTAACCTTCAGTGGGCAACAAACCCTGGATAAGTTATTTGTGTTCCCATTGGTGCCTACCTGATTCCTGAATTAGGAAACCAGAGAAAGACACCAATGTGAATGTCTGTTTTTTTCGAGTGGGAGTCTCACTCTCTCGCCCAGGCTGGAGTGCAGGGGCATGCTCATGTCACCCACAGCCTCTCCCTGCTGGGCTCAGGTGATCTATCCTTCTGCCTCAGCCTTCCAAGTAGCTGGAACCACAGGCGAGTGCCACCATGCCCAGCTAATTTTTTGATTTATTGTAGAGACGAGGTCTTGCCATGTTGCCCAGGCTGATCTCAAACCCCTAGGCTCAGGCAGTCCTCTCACCTTGGCCTCCCAAAGTGCTGGGATTACAGGCTTGAGCCATTGCACCTGGCCTCATGTCTTTCTTAATGCATAAGGTTTTCCCCTTCTTTAAAAAAAAAAAAAAATTACTGTGGCTACAGATACATAAAATTTACCATTTCAATAATTTTTAAGTGTAGAGTTTAGTGGTATTAAGTCCATTCACATTGTTATGCAACTATTATAATTGTTCGTCTCCCAAACTTTTCCATAATCCCAAATTGAAACTCTGTATCCTTTATGCCTAGTTTTTAATCACTCATTCAACAAATACATGGTGTTTGTATACTAGGTGAAGGCATTCTGCCAGGCGCTAGGGACACAGCAGAATATATACTCGTTCTAGGAGAATCAAGTTTCCTGAGCTCTGCTCATGTTTCCAGGACAGCAGATCTTGTGACTCGTGTACCTCTTCCCCCTTGAAATGACTTCAAGTATAGGATCCTGGACTGCAATCATATTTTATGGCAAGATGACAAGTGGACATCATTTGTTCTTGATGCCTAGGTTCCCCGACCTCGTACCCTTATCCCAAATTTTTAAAAAACCAGGAATCATTTCTTTCCCATTCTCAGTAGATGCCATATGAGAGAGGCTAATCTCCATTCTGACTCCACAAATAGACTTATGTCCTATGTCTGCCCAATCAGCATTTGTTATCCAGCAGCACCTCCATACCCTTCACTCACCATAATTGGTTTAAGGGTGGGCATACGACTAAAGTTGGCATATGAAAGTCAATTTTGAAGCTTTTGCTAAAATTACTGGGAATGAGGCATTTTCTTTCTGCTGACTTACCATGTAGTGAGAGGCAGTTTGAGAAAAGCAAAGAGAGAGATTCCTAACTATCATTTTATGCTAATAAATTCTCATGTTTGTTTAAGCTCATTTGAGTTGGATTTTGACTCTTACAACTGAAAAGATTCCAATTAACAGAACAATTAGGCAACAGACATAGTACTGAAGAGTTTTATGTAACTGTAGCAAGCATCCAGTGAGCAACTATATGGGGACTTCTGAAAATATGTTCTCAAACTCTACCTTCTTAATTATATTTAAAACAAATAATTGCTTTTGTCCCTCCCAGAGTTCTCTTGTCCTAACACATTTCTGGCTTCTCTGCTTTAAATATTCTTCCCTAGGTTTTTATTCAGTCTCATTCTAACTGAAAAACATATCATCTACAAGCATATGCTAAGATTTTAGATACAATGCCACATCTTCCAGTTGTTAGCTGTGGATTTGGGGCAAATAACTTCAAATCTCTAAGTATTCTGGTAGTCAGGTTCACCCTGGTAAAAGCAGGGGGACAGGGAAGACAAGCGAATTGGCATTCCCCAAGGGAATTATCTCTTCAGCTGATCACTTCTGATGCATAGTGGTGAAGATTCAGGAGAGGGGTAAAAGGTGGAATGAGGGAAGGTCTTCCTCAATAAAAGCTCTGCGCACAAGCATTCAATATTCACTTGATATTTACTAGACAGTCATGTGCTAGCATGCTATGAGTTTGCGCAGGACAGACAAAACAGGCAGTAGACCACAAATTGTCTGTTTATCCTGTAAAGGGCACATGGCTGTAGCAGGACCAGGGCTAAGGTCTGCACAGAGTTGTATTCGATGAGCTTCACAAATACAGAGCAGTCACCTCCTGATGTGTCATCTTTAGTTGTAAGGGACAACAAGATACATATAATTTTAGCACTCTTGCAGCCCTTCAGATCACAACTTGCTGGGTGAACATTGATTAGCTGACCTTCTTTGATGATGCCTGACCCTGGATGCACTTATTTGGCTTGTGGTAGGAGTTTGAACTTTTTTTTTTGCTCTTCATAATCTTCTTAGCTGGCACCTGATGAGCAAGGGGTGATCTCAGTCTTTAGCTGACTCTCTGCTTGTGGATGATTATATATGTACCTCTTACTGACCTCTAAAGACATGGGTGCCAAGGTCACAGTTTAGCTATTAGAAAAAAACAGGCAAGTCTATTTTTTTTTTGCAACATTTGCCTTTTCTCTTTTAATTATAACAAAGAACTGAAAAAGTAAGGTTACACTAATAAGATTCAGACCAGAGAACTATGACCAACAAGCTGAGAGCATATAAGAACAGGAATGGACTTAAGAGAATGTGTGAGCATACATTCTATAAAGCAAGATTTTAAAAATGTGTGCCATGAAATACTAGTTCAATTGAACGAAAAGAGATGTTACATGTACAAATATATTTGGGAGATACCAGGTTGAAAAAGTTGGGTAGATTTGTTTACTGTAGGTTTCTCTAAATCTTAGCATTGTAAAATTCCAAGAGGAAAAATTGATATGTAACATTTCCCAAATTAATTTAATCAAGACCTGCTCCCACATCCTCTTAAGGAATAAGAATTGATTACTGAAGACCAAAAACGGCATCTCTATGATCACAGTGTCATAATGATTAAGATGCCATTATTGACTAAAATGCTTGATTAGCTCAACTGCCTTTAGTTGACATCTATTTTGAAAAAGTTATAAAAGATCTCAAGGAGAAGTGTAGGAGAAAAAGTTGAAGAGGCATTATAGCCTCAGAACTAAAAGTAAGAGTCATGAAGAAAGCAGATCTTAGTTCTGAAAACAGCTCAGGACTGTCATTTACTCTCTGTAAGCCTTGTGTAAAATGGGCATACTAACGGTACTTTTCTCCCAGGATTGCTCTGAGTATTTTACCTCCTTTGTTGTTCTTAACATCTCTGTAATTGGACTGCAATCCCTACTTTTGGAAGTGCTTTCAAACAATGTAAAAACCCTCTTGAAATTAGAGACCATCAGCTTAAGTGAAGAAACTTAAAAATGGAAAACCAAATGCCACATATTCTCACTTGTAAATGGGAACTAAACTAAACTAAAGAACTGCAAAGACATATAGAACAATATAATGGACACTGAAGACTCAGAAGGGGGAGAGTTGGGGATGAAAAACCACCTATCAGGTACAATGCTCACAGGTGGGGGTGGAGGGTACACTTAAAGCCTACACTTCTTCTCCACTATACAATGTATCCATGCAACCCAAAACCATTTGTGTCTCCCAAGCCATTAAAATAAAAATTCAAAAAACAAACAACAGAAAACTTCTCTTATCCTACACTTTTGGACCTAGAATTGACAGGCATATTGAAAAGCTTGGTAAAAGTGGGAAAGCATAAAGAAATGCCAAATTTACATAGTAAACATTTTATGGTATTAATTTATTATAAACTATTTATATAATTATATATAATTTATTTTTATTTATTAATAAAATTACTATTTAGACAAATTAATTTATTATTTGTCAATGTTTTTAACGTAAGACCAATGTAACTTTTTCCTTTTATTTATTTTTAAAGTTAATGATCAACTGGGGTTGTTATTTTCACATAAGCTACATTCATCACATTATTATCAACCCTCACTTATAGTTTTGGTTTCTTTAAACAAAATTGTGACAAGATCTGAGTATAGAATCATACTAGAGTATAATTTATAATTGTCTTTGTTTTAAAAATTGACTTCTTGCTTTTCTTGAGTATACTCCAAAAGATTTATATAGTTTCTGTGGAAATGACAATTATTTCCTTTTGAATTTTTATTTCATTAGTTTATGTAATATTTAATGTCTGCTGTTATAAGTAAAACTGGCACAAACCGAACTGGTTTTATAATAAAAACAACTCATTCTTGGCAGCACACAACTCAACAACTAGGAACAGAAGTGTCCAAGTTTACTTGAGAATAGTCTACTGGCCACAACCCTTCAGCGTGCCACAGTCAACAGCCATTATGCATCACAGAAATAATGTAGAGACTCTTTCTGGAGAAAGTTAGTTGAGGGGAGGTGGTTTGAGAGAGCCATGACAGTGCTTTAAAAGAAGACATATTTTACTTTATTGTCCCTTCTACAGATTCTTGCTCATTAGACCACGTAATTTTAAATACAAGTTTCTACATGGGCTTCCTGTTGACACATTGTTAGTTGACTTCTAACTGTAGGTGGTTTCATTAGGGGAGAGTAATGGCGGGATTTTACAGGTATCAAGGCAGATCAATCCAGATAGCTAAGAAGAAAATAGGTTTTTTTTTAGGTGTCCCTCAATTATATAATACGGGTGGTTGCCCAGTCCATGTGAAACAATGCGTTGTAAACTTTTCCAACTGAGTGCAGTGGCTCATGCCTGTAATTCCAACACTTTGGGAGGCAGAGGTGAGAGTATTGCCTGAGTCCAGGCATTTGAAACCAGCCTGAGCAACTTGGGCAAAACCTTGTCTCTGCAATAAATAAAGAAATTAGCTG